TTTATCATATTACATGAAAAATTCTCCCCATTAGCAACATATCCTCAATGGTTTTTAAAAGTTTTATAAGCATGTCTTGCAGGGAGTTTTGTTAGAGCCTCATTGACAACATCCCACACTTCTAAAACACTGTGACTATACAACTGATCTTTGAACCCTAAGCTTACTCACATGAAGTCTGCCAAGATACCTAATGAGCATTTATGTCTATTCCATTAGTTCATGCCAATTAGTTCATACCAATTCAGGATTTTCATATCTCAGTCAGGTATGAATCCTCTGCTGAGACAAGAAATGCCCAAAATATCAGTAGCTTCCTAAAGTACAACTGTGCCATAAGTCATTGCAGAAATGTTCACAATTTGCTTCTGTGAAGCAGCATAAGGCAAGTCACCTTCACTGGGGTACCCTTGAAAATACCCCTGAGTAGGGTAGAGAGCAGGACCCAAAAAACTAACCTCTTTGTCTTTGCATTGTCAGGGTATTCGCAGAGACACTTCCAGACACTTCAGAAAGCTACTGTCTCCCATCTATTAGCTACTTCTTGCCAAGGGAAAATGCAGTGACTGACTGTAGGCGAGGACCTCCACTCCTCAAATCTCCACTGCAGGGCTTTGATCTACTATTCCACATCTACTTAATTTGAAGGTGCTTGCTCAGGTGTGGACTTGCACCCTGGCCTTTTTGAAGTGTTGTGGTTTGCTTGGCAGACGTTTGACACTCTGGGCACAGCACAGTGGCTGCACAGCACAACAAGGTGCTTTTCATATCTTGAGGTCTCGTTGAAGCGACTGCACAGCCCACCTTTTAGGCATTCACAAGGATATGCTTGCAACTCCCATGACTTCTTTGTGTGCCTAATGACTACAGGCAGCCACCAAAAGGTCTCCTGTCATCAAAACAAAGAGGTGTGGGCAGAAAAAAAGGGCACAGTTCACTTGTTACCAGACACAGTTCCTTTACTGTCACTTCTGTGTCCATGCAGGTTTTGGATCCATTTAACTTTGGCTTGCTGATTCAGAGAGCCTGTGTTTTGTGCAAAGCCCTCCTGAAGGGCGTCCAATTTGTCCTGTCAGGACAGTATTCCATGAAAGTTATTTTTGCTTTTTATTTCAAAGAAAAAAAAGTATAATTCAGTTTTGTTTTACTGGAAAGACACTGACACAGCCTGAAATTCTGTACCTTAAAAAGTGTGAGTACTTTCAAGTACAAGACTGTTCCCTGCCAATATTTTTGGTTTTACAATCACCTTCCACTTTGTTCTGGTTTTGATTTGCAATAAATTAGATTACCCACTGCTGAGCTAAAGGTCTGGACAAACATTGAGGGAAACTGCCTTTACATAAATTCTTGTCAAACAAACAAAGGACAAACAATGCTTCCCATTGCTCTAAGGTGTGACAAGACACAAACCCAGGCAAATAAAACTGCAGCTTTGAGTATGATGTTGTACACTAACCCTGTGTCTTCCATTCCTGCCATGAAGGTGCCCTTCTAAAATTTTAGGGGCTGCTGGTGGTGCACTGGGTTCCGTTTCACTCTCATCTGCAAGGGCTCAGGGTTTACCCTCTGCTGTCAGTTCAGGGTATTGTCTGCATTACTTGCAATGTATGATCTAGGACAAATGCATTCACAGAGACCTTGCCCACATAAGCTTACTGAGGAAAACTCTGCTAGGTCTGAGGTTCAGTGTTGTTACATTAAATTCTGGCTCGCCATCTGACCTGAAGGAAAACACACTCAAGATGAAAGTAAAAGGTTTTGGGTTTTGGTTGGTTTTTGTCTCCTCTGTTTTAACCATTCTCACAACCTTGCCCTTTGCCTCTCTGAATAGAAATGAGAGCTCATCAAATAATAATTGTCATAAATGTGAGCTGGTGGCATTATGAACTATTGAAAATGTTAGGAAATATTTAGACTTTGTCACTGTGAGCATTTCATAGTGTCAAAGGTGACGTCTTCTGCAGAGGGGGTCTAGCTTAAGGTGCTAATTGGCATTTATTAAGTAATATTTGTGACTTCAATCTACAGAGTGATCTCTGACTTATGTTTCAGACAACTTCACTCTGTCAGTTAAAATATGTAAATACGCTCTCAATATTAACAGATATCAGATGCCCTTTCACTATACAGTTATCCTTTTTATCACTTTTGACCAAGTCTTTGAAAGCAATTATCTTTTATCAAAGACTTTTTACAAGTTCATGGAAATTGAGGCAGTCCCAAGCACAAATACAGGTTGGGTAGAGAATGGATTGAGAGCAGCCCTGAGGAGAAGGACTTGGGGGTGCTGGTTGACAAGAAGCTCAGTGTAATCCACCAGTGCGCGCTCACAGTCCAGAAAGCCAACCATGTCCTGGGCTGCAACAAAAGTGCAGCAAGCAGGTCAAGGGAACAGGTTTTCCCCCTCTAGTCTGCTCTCATGGGATTCCACCTGGAGTACTGTGTCCAGCTCTGGGGCCCCCAGCATAAGAAGGATATGGACCTCTTGGAGCAGGCCTAGAGGAGGGCTACAAAGATGATCAGAGGGCTGGAGCACCCCATCTATGAAGACAGGCTGAGAGAGTTGGGGTGGTTCAGCCTGGAGAAGAGGAGGCTTCAGGGAAACCTTAGAGCAGCCTTCCAGTACCTGAAGGGAATTAAAAGAGACCTAGAGAGGGACTTTTTACAAAGGCATGTAGTGATAGGAAAAGAGGGAACAGCTTCAAACTGAGAGTAGGTTTAGACTAGATATTAGGAAGAAATTCTGTACTGTGAGGCTGCCCAGAGAAGCTGTGGGTATGCCATCCCTGAAAGTGTACAAGGGCACGTTGGATGGGGCTTTGAGCAACCTGGTCTAGTGCAAGCTCTCCCTGCCTGCTGCAGGGGGTTAGGAACTAGATGATCTTCCTACCCAAGGTCCCTTCCAATCCAAAACATTCTATGATTCTCTATTCAAGATTTATACAGGAAGAAAAATAACAAAAATGGTTTGTAAAGAGAAGTTACTTTCTAAAGGCTTAAATCTTTTCAGTCTAGTATTTTGAAAAGCATAGAGATTCAGAAAAATGTTGCAACACTGTGGAAAAAAAAGAAAAACTATCAAAGCTGTAAAGACTCAACAAACTTTGGTAATAAATCTTGCCTGTCAACAAGCTTGTCTTTGCTAATTCATGTGCATCAAAGTATTCCAGCAGAACTTAAATGATATACTTAATCCAAGCAAGGACACCATCACATACGTGATTTTATGGGTCTGTGCAGTATGCAGTGTTGTCACTAATTGATTGACTTTTTGTTCATCTGGGGCCAAGGTGGCTCACAATAAAGGCTGAATTCTGTCTGAATTCTCCAGCCTCAGAACAAAATCCTTTTTTTTATTCACTTCAGCCACGTTCTCTCTCTTCTTTAATTGATGGTACTTCACTGCAAAAATAAGTTATCTATTAACAGCATTAAGTTTCTCTCCATGGTATTGCACTGTTGCAGGCAGCACCGTGGTGGGAAAAAAAACAATTCTGGCACCTGGAGCACATGTGCAGGAGGCATGTGTCAAATATCTTGTTAAATTACACAAACCTGAAAAATATCCTAACATGCGTAAGAGATGTCACCTTAGGGTTTTTGATTTTTTTTATTTTTCTAATTTTTATAAGTTTTAGAAGTAATTATATAGCAAAAGTAGATTTTAGAAGCAGCTGCATTCATTCCCTCACCCTTTAGCAGAGTAGTGACACAGATCCTCAACCCTCTTACCCCATTCCATGTTCCCCATATCAATTCCCCTCCTTAAATTCCATTTAAGCATGTTTAGTCTCTCTTCTAGGTAGGTCTTTTACTGTTTAAGAATATTTGCTCCCTAGCCTGAACCGCAAGATACGACCAAGAACTGGGTGACTCTGTGTACTCTGTACTTTGAAGAAGACCAAGATGAGGAAGAAAAGGGTCCCAATATGACTCCAGACCCAACTTTCAAGGGGTGGGTGGGGGGCGGACCAGGGTAAAGGCTGGGGGTGGATAAAATCAGGGATTGGACAGACAGTATTGTAAAATTGTAACACTGGATCGGGGAGCTGCGGGCATCTTGTAACCCCATTGCCTTAGAGGCATCATTAAACCTTCCCTCACCTTACCTCCAAAAATTAAGTTGCCTCAGAGTTTTTCTCCCTGAATTTTCTCTTAGGTATCAGAGACAATCAGGAAAGCATAGCAAAGCAGGATAACAGTGCCAGGTAGTTTTTGGTGTAGGTATGTTGTAAAAGCTAGCAGGAGAGCATGTGTTTGTTATTAAGATACTGCCAACCACATAGTGCTTACAAACAGAATGGTGGTGGCCTTTGCTCATTTATTTTGCTGTGCTGTGATGAGCTTGGTCAACCCCCATGCTGGCAAAGATGGATTGTTGGAAATATAAATGTACAGATACTGCAAATGAATGGGGAAATGCAGTTGTCAAGACCTCCTAAAGAGGACATCTCTAAAAGAGATTAAAATGTTTTTCTGGGAGAGAGGCATCATAAAGGGAATAGAGAAGGAAGCAAAGAAATGAGAGAAGCAGACTTGTGTGGAAATATCCTAGCTAAAGAAAAAAGCACATGGGGGGAACCCAGGAAAAACACCAGATTCAGTCAGGACTACACACCAATACTTCTTAAGGAAAGTACAAGTAGGTTATTAAAGTCCACTTAATAGTGCCAGAAAAAAGCTTTGCTTGTACTACTGTAGGGAGTTGACCCTAGTTGGACACCAGGTACCCTCCAAAGCTGCTCTCTCACTCCCCTCTGCAACTGGACAAAGGAGAGAAAATAAAACAAAGAATTCATGAGTGGAGATAAGCATCAGGAGACATCACTCAGCCATCATGGGCAAAACAGACTCAAAGTGGGGAAATTAATTAAATTTGTTACTAACAGAATCAGAGTGGGAGAATGGGAAGTAAAATAAATCTTAGAAACACTTTCCCCCACACACCCCTGCCTCCTTCTCAAGTTCTGCTTCCTCCCCAGTGGCACAGGGAGATGGGGAATGGAGGTTATGGTCAGTTTGCCACAGGTTGTTTCTGCCATTGCTCAGGGAGAGGAGTCCTTCCCCTGGGAGACTCCTTCATGACCTTCTCCAACATGAGTCCATCCCATGGGCAACAGTTCTCCATGAGCTGCTGCAGTGTGGGTCACTTTTCCACAGGGTGTAGTCCTTCAGGCACAGGCTGCTCCAGAGCGGGTTCCCCACAGGGCCACAAGTCCTAGCAGGAAAACCTCCAGAATGGGCTCCTCTCTCCACGGGTCAGCGCATCTCTGCTAGGGAAATCTGCTTCATCATGGGCTTCCCACAGGGTCACAGCCTCCTTCAGGCATCCACCTGCTCCAGCATGGGGCTCCTCTGTGGGCTGCAGGTGAGTCTCTGCACTCCTGTGGTCCTCCATGTGCTGCAGGGGCACAGCTGCTCCGCCATGGTCTTCACCAAGGGCTGCAGGGGAATCTCTGCTCTGGTGCCCGGAGCACTTCCTGCCCCTCCTTCTGCATTGACCTTGGTGTCTGCAGAGTTGTTCACATGTTGTCACTCCTCTCTTCTCTGGCTGCAATTTTCATCTGCGTAATAACTTTTTTCCTTCTTAAATGTGTTATCACAGAGGCATTACTATCATTCCTGATTGGCTCTGCCTTGGCCAGCAGCAGGTCCATCCTGGAGCCAGCTGGCATTGGCACTGACAGACATGGGAGAAACTTCTAGTAGCTTCTCACAGAAGCCACTGCTACCAAAACCTGGCCATATAAACCCAATACAACTGCTCAAAAAGAAGAGTGACTTTAAAGAGGATATTGCTTAAGAGGGAGACACAGTGCTGATAATCATTACCGTAAAGGACACACATTTTGTCACTATTTTCTTCTCCGGACTTTTATTGCAGGGTTTTAAGAATTAACATAATGGAGGGCAGAGCAGTTACTGGCAGGTCTGGCTAGAAGAAAAATGCTACTGTATTCAGCAAAGTATACCAGGCCAATGGTGCCGATGGCATCAGTGGGAAATCTAAGGTCCAAATGAGAGAGTAAGAATTGCCCCTTTCTTGTCTTTTACATTCCAGTCCCTTTATTTCACTGACTGTTTATGGCTATGTCAGAAACAGATTCTATGATTCCTTCTACAGTTATTCAATCCCACACTGAAGTTGAGGTCCCCAGACTGCAATGTGTGCTCTGTATTGCTTCAAGCATCAAAACAACTTTCCTTACGGGGAGACATTGATCATCTGAAAAACCTACATCAACAGCAGCAAAAGCTTCAAAACAATCATTAATGATGCTTTTTTCCCCTTGATTTTGATTCTTCATTCCAATTTTTTAGACTGCAGATGGTAGAAGGCATATTCCTTGCAATGGCCAACCCCAAAGTTATGTATATTAATGTTGAACTTAAATGTTTCTGCCTACTTTTAACACACTTATAATAAATTCATCACAAGAAGTCTTTGAGAGTTCTTTGAAAAATGAAGCTGTATGACCCTAACCAACAATTTACTGGAAAAGATAAGCAGAGGCCAAAAAAAAAAAATTAGAGATAACAAAATCAATGAATTGCACTGTTTGAGGAACAAAACCTCAAAAACTCATGGTCCAGAATTGGATAGATGGCTAGGTGAGACAGAGAAGGAAAGAGAGTGTTGAAGAGAAGTTTTACCTCTAGTCTTCTTGTCTGAAAAAGAGGTGATCTAAAGATACTGATAATGTTTTTTATCTGCTTTACTTGGAAGTTTCCACCTGCATTAAAGCAGGAACTGGGCTCATATCATAACTTTTGTACTAGTAACCCCTAAAAACTTTTCAACTGGATGGTAATACCTCCACTAAACCTGCTTTTTAATATCTGTGATCTAGGGCAGTAGTCAAAGAAACTTACCTCCAAGACCAGAAGGAAATGCCAAATAGTGCTTATCATTCTGCAATTATATTCATTCACAGTTTAACTTCCTGAAAGCATCATGTTTATTTACAAGATTTAACACTGACACCTACTGAACACAAAATGCAGTCCTAGTACAGTACAACATGTGCTTACCTACTGGAGAACACTACTTGGCTGCAGTTCAAGCTTATTTTAAGTATTTATGCTCTTGTTCCTCTTTGGTTTATCATTCAAAGTTCTTTCACATCCTCAGAGAAAGTTGCTCCTTGGGTGTTTTTCTTTTTTCTGGCTAAGATACTAGTCTGTTTGAACTTTTTTATTTGAAGAATCAAGAACTGGAACATAAAAGAAGAAGACACCGACAACTCTACAGCCTTCAGCTGCACATTAGATCACTCAGTGTCTGATGCCTACAGCTTCACTGTCTATGATTGTAATACGTGGTGATGACCTATGTCTATGGTGGCAGGTTTGTGGACTTTAATACCTTTGGAACATTCCTCTGGCAAATAAGGGTCCATTTAGGCTCTGCCTTTGTGCACCAATAACAGTAAATGGTGGCCTCTCCCATCCCTATCTGCTGGGTTGCTTAGAAACAAACTGCTGGAGCAGAATTTGAGAAATCAAATCTGTTGCCTTCTATTGCAGGCAGCCATATCATAATCACTCTCATAAATGTACCAAGATTCATCTAACAAACCTGCAGATGTCTTGCCTTTACTATTTTTTTTGAAGGCTTGCTCCATGATCCCCCATTACCACATGTACTGCTTGTACATCACTTCTTTCTCTTTCATCATGATGGTGGCCTCTCCTCACTTGTGTTCAAGCCTGAGTTACTCTTTCGAACATGAGACACTGATATTTTGGGTACCACTGGGGCCTAATACAATGGCATCAAGATTTATTGTTCTACTACAACAGTTCTCTTTTTCTGTTCTGGCAGACTGTGGGACTGCATTAGTCTTTCCCACCATGCTATGGGTCACAGGCATCCTCTACCCATTTTAACCTTTGTCATCTCTAGCTGATGAGCCCCACTCCCCCCCCAGTTCACAGCCAAAATTCTCATTTAGTTTCAAGTGCCAAATATCCTACATGCTGCACTACTAAATCTCACCCTCACCCTCTTTGTTTCCCCAGACTGTGAAAGTAATTCAGTTTTTTCCATATCCAAATTTTGCTGGTTTTAATGACATTCCACAAGCTTTTTTAATCAGGAGCCTAATGAAAATATTAAAGTGTATCTGCTCCAAGGCAGATTATTCATTAAAAGGTAAATGCTGAATATAGAGGACGTTTAATTCTCACCACAATTGTTTTCCTTTCAACCAGCTCTTTACATACCATATGGTTCTTGGAGTAGTCACATCTCTCCAAATACAGGCATTTTTTTTCTCCAACAAATGGACAGTAATAAACATGTTTTAATGTTCAAAATGTAAGATCTACTGCATTTTTTTCTACTTATTTTCTGGACCTCTTACCAAAAATGCCAGATTCATCAACTGGTGCAATTTGCGAGGTAGTCAGCCCAGGCTGACTTTTTCCCCTGCCCCTTTTCCTGTTGAATTTTCTTCCAAACTTGCTCTTAAAGTTTTCCAAACTCAGTCTAAAAGTCTGTCTAAAAAGTCTTGCCCATATTTGAGGTCACACAACAGGATGAATGGTTGTTCAGATTCCTTTTAATACTTTTTTAAATAGAAGTATTACACTCTGCAGAGCTATAACCTTGCTCTTGTGCTTTTCTTCAGAAGGGTCACGGAGAAAAGTTTACCGGAGACCAGGAATTGTTGCCTTTTGCCCGTATACCCTAACATTACCTTTCTTTAAAAATGCAGCAGTGTATTTGGGGAGGAAAAGAGGAGAAGGGCACTTCTGACATTTTCTTTAAAGTCTGTTTTATCTCAGTATTTTATGAGGGAATTATGGGCTATTTCTTTCTCTCACACTCTTCACTGGTTGAAGAATGCTTCCTTGTTTTTATCCTGTGCAAGCTCCACTTCATCTCATCAATTCTCAAGGCAGTCCTGTATTTCTCATTGGTCAACAATTTTTTCCATTGCTTATAGTCTTTCTGTATGTCTGAGATATTTCTTCTGAAGCGCTTATTCATTCAGTGAGATCTGGAGTTCTTTCCAACAACTGTTTGCTCCGTGCTTAAGAAAAAATTTCTATCTTACCTGTTTTTGTCTCTTGGTTTTGAAATTCCCAGCCTCTTACACACTCATTTAATAATGACTTTATATTTCAAGAAAAAACACTAAATAGCTTTAGCCATGGGTTTGGTAATTTTTTCAGTAATTTTAAACTGCAGTAACTTGAGCTAAAGCTGTTTTCCACATGCAACTTGATCTGTAGGCTAATGCCCAACTGACCCCTACTACTAGCACCTTTTTTTCCCCCCATCATTGAGACAGACACCCAGAATCACAGACTCATAGAATAATTTAGGTTGGAAAAGGCCTCTAAGATCATCAAGTCCACCATGAAACTATGTCCCTAAGTGCTACATCTATACATCTTTTAAATACCTCCTGGGATGGAGACTCAACTACTTCCCTGGGCAGCCTGTTCCAACATTTCTTCTCTAACAAGCTATCTCCAAGGACAGCTCTCTGTTTTTTTTGTCTTGACTCTAACCATCAACATGACATCAAAACTACCTTTTTTATTTCCTTCTAAGACCTGACACAAAACTGTTTATCTTCATAAATACTGACTAGAGAAAGGTAGAAGAATCACGTCCTAGCTGCAGAACTAAACTGAGTTAACATATAACCATTTTCCTTTGCTCGAGTCTCTGCCCACACCAAAAATACTCCTTTCATTCCAAGGTGTAGAATTTTTTATTTGCGTGGTATTGCTATGTATTGGCTAAAACTCTGTACCTGCTCTGTAGAGACTTTGCCTCTTATACCAAAACAGACTACTATGCCCTTTCTAGATGTGCACAAAGACATGAATGATTTTGTACAGTGTCTCAAAACACATTTTGCTGGAGTTGTCAAGCAAACCTTTCTAAAACCTTTCTGTTGTGCACCCGCTGCACAGCAATAAAGCTTGCAGTATAAGGAAGAACAGAGGTGCTCGTGCACCTGAATTTATTGTTTCAGAACAACTAGCCTGTCTTATAAAGTCTCTGTCCTTGCATCCCATTGCTATGACACACACATTAACTATATTCATATTGAGAAAAAACTGCTTATTCAGAATACTATAATTACACATCTTACAATGAAAACTCTGAGAAGAAGAGAAAAACATCCTCTAGTGTTAACCAGGATTTTAAAATTGAAAGATTCTGCTGAGGGCACAGAAGGAATGCACTAGTCCAATCTCCAGTCAATCCTTGCAGCAAAAAAGTTCCTTGTAGCAACTCAGCCTATGGATAAGGACAAGAAGATGTAAAAGCGCTATATGGAGATTATGAAAGGAGTAGCAACTTGCTCTCCATTTGACAGAGTGCAATAAAATCTTTCTGCTCATGTGGTCCTTAGCATTTTTTTAATGAGTATTACTAATGACCTTGACAAGAATAATTTTTATGAGGCCTGCATCAAGTTTTTCAACTCAAAATAAGAACTGGTTTTTTAGCCTACAAGATAAACAAATTAAAAAAAAAATCAAACCCTCAAAAAGCAGCTATAAAATTATCAGCTTAGTGTCTCATCTTGAATTTTGAACAGTTGTGTAACTGCCTATACACTTGCATTTAATTTCCATTTAGGGTTTTTACATCATTTTTCACTGACATTTTAACTTGCATTAAAAAAACCCTAAGAAGCATTAATAACAGATGGTCCTATTCAACATTTTCTTTCAAAATACATTATAAATTTCTGCCATTTTCATGTCTTGGGTAACAGTCTTTTAAGTATAAAGACTCCACTTTTATGTTTAAGAGACTAAATAAAGGAAACAGAACAGTGATTATATGAAAGGAGAGTTCCCTGCATCTTCCCATTTACAGAATATTCATTACTATTTCACAAAAGAAAAATATATATCACCATTATAAACAGACATATGAGTAGCATCTGAACAGTGCCAAACAGCTGTTGCTGACTCCTGACATCTTTTGGTACCCAAAACAAAGTTATAGTAGTCCCACAGACAAATAATCACAAAGCTGTTTTTGAGATTTGATTTAGAGTGTTAAATGGGGGACTAAAACAAACTTTTGAGGGAAGAGTAATTACTTTCTTAACTCTCCCCTATCCTTGAAAGACATATATAATATAATAAGTCGTCTAATACATTATAAAATTGAAAATGCAAGCAAAAACAAATTATAGGTGTTTGGCTCCGAACACTGAATTAATGCAGTTCTACAATAAATCATAATGTACCAAGGTCATGCAGTCTCCGTTGTTATCCTAGCATCTTTCATAAAATGCTTTGCAAACATAAACACTTTACGTACTTCAGGTAAATAATACAGACATTTAAAAATATTACTAAACTGGTGGATGATAAACACAAACACATATTCCATTATAGAGGATAGACTCAAATAAACATGGTCAGTCAAAAAAAGAGAAAAGCAAATTCATCTCAGAAATATAATAGAATTACAGAATGGTTTGGGTTGGCATGGCCCTTAAAGATCTTCTAGTTCCAAATCCTCTGCCATAACCAGGGACAAATTCCATGAGAATATGTTGCACAAAGCCCCATTCAACCTGATCTTGAACACTTCCAGGGATGGGACATCGACAATTTCTGTGGGCAACCTGTACCTTACCACCCTCACAGTAAAGAATTCTTTTCTAGTATCTAGCCTGAATCTCTCCTCTTTCAGTTTGAAGCCACTTCCCTTTGTCCTATCACACCATGCCCTTATAAAAAGTCCCTCTCTAGGTCTCTTTTAATTCCCATCAGGTACTGGAAGGCTGCTCTAAGGTTTCCCTGAAGCCTCCTCTTCTCCAGGCTGAATAACCCCGACTCTCTCAGCCTGTCTTCATAGATGGGGTGCTCCAGCCCTCTGATCATCTTTGTAGCCCTCCCCTAGGCCTGCTCCAAGAGGTCCATATCCTTCTTATGTTGGGGGCCCCAGAGCTGGACACAGTACTCCAGGTGGGATCTCATGAGAGTAAATAGAGGGGGAAAACCTACTCCCTTGACCTGCTTGCTGCACTTCTTTTGTTGCAGCCCAGGACATGTGAGCGTGCACTGGTGGATTGCATAGAGCTTCTTGTCCTTAGGGCTGCTCTCGATCCATTCTCTGCCCAGCCTGTATTTGTACTTGGGATTGCCCTTACTCAGGGGCAGGATTCTTGCACTTAACCTTGCTGAACTTCAGGATTCACACAGGCTCACCTCTATAGCCTGCCAAAGTCCCTCTGGATGACATTCCTTACCTCCGTTGTGTTAAATGCACCACACAGCTTAGTGTCATCATCAGATTTGCTGAGGGTGCACTGAATCCCACTGTCCACGTCATCGACAAAGATGCTAAACAGTGTCTAACATCTTAAATATATTCAACCGTATTAGTCCCGTTGCTGACCCCGGAGGATCGCCACTCATCACTGCTCTCCACTTTGGACATAGAGCCGTTGACTGCAACTCTGAGTGTGACCATCCAGCCAATTCCTTACCCATTGAGTGGTCCACCCATCAAATCCGTGTCACTCCAGTTTAGAGACAAGGATGTCATGAGAGACAATATTACGTGTTCTGCATAAGTCCAGGAAGATAATGTCAGGTCCTCTTCCCTTATTCACCATATGACCTAGCAGAAAGAGGAGAGATGGACACAATCATCTAAGAGGTTCCTTTCAGTCTTGTCACCTATAATTTTATGACCTAATTCTTTCTTTATTGGATAGAGATTTCATATAAACACCAGAAAATGTAGAAGTTTGGAAAGGCTTTAAACACTCAGGTGTTGGAGCATAAACAACCTCTTAACTAGTGCAGGGAGGAACTCTTCTCACCAGCAAGTCATTTTGTAAGCACCCAAATCTTACCTCTCATGGGGAAACATCTGGTACCAAAGAGAGGATAATTTCTTTTTCTTCTAGTTAAAGCTCGCACACCTGAGGAAAAAAGCAAACACTGAACACAGATGGCATGTCACATTTTACTCTTGGGAAAATGTGAAGTTGTGTGGATTATAGTGTTACACCCACCTACTTGTGTTGCTTTCTTTGGACAAAATATGGCCAGGATAATCCATCAGCAGAAATCCAAGTAGAAGATAATATTTTGTTCTGACTGTGATTGGTGACCTTTCCCACTGACAGAGGACTGACTTCTCCAGGTTGGCCATGAAGGCCTACAATGAGGAAATATTCCTATTTACATTTTTTAAAGCTTATCTGACTTCTTTTTGTTGTTGTTGTTTAGAACCTCTGACCTTGATAGCTTCTCACTCTGCCCAGAGTTTTTGTCAGTTTCACCAGAATAAAATATATTTGTGTAGG